CCTGTTGTCTCCTGCCCACTTCCATAGTCTGTCCAGACCCTTTTGGATCTGGAGTACCTGCTCCTCAGTTGTGGCCACTGCTCCAGTTTTAGTGTCATCTGCAAATTTGATCAGCAGACTGTTCACCCCTTCTTCCATGTCATTAATGAAAAGATTAAACAGGATCAGCCCCAGGACAGAGCCCTGGGGGACCCCGCTTGTCACTGGCCGCCAGCCCGATGATTCCCTGCTAATGGTTACCTTCTGCTTTCGGTCAGTCAACCATGCCCTAATCCACTGGACAGTGCTTTGGTGTATCCCAGAACTCCTCAGTTTCTCCACCAGGATATCATGGGGCACTTTGTCAAAAGCCTTGCGAAAATCCAGGTATACCACATCCACTGCATCCCCTCCATCTAGCCATCTCGAAACCTTGTCATAGAATTCCACAAGGTTTGTCTGGCAGGACCTGCTTTTGCGGAAGCCGTGTTGAATGGCTGTCAGCCTCCCTTCCCTATTTAGCATCACTGGATCTCTCTCTATTATGAGCCTTTCCATTGTTTTTCCTACAATGGACGTAAGGCTAACCGGTCTGTAATTCCCCATGTCCTTTCTACTACCCTTTTTGAAACTTGGGACCACTGATGCCACCCTCCAGTCCTCTGGAACTTCACCCGTTCTCCACGAGGTCTTAAAATGGAGGCCAGCAGGTGTGAGAGAACCCCTGCCAACTCTCTAAGTACTCTCGGGTGTACCCAGTCAGGGCCTGACGCCTTTGTAAAGTCCAATGCCCTGAGGAGCCCCTCCACTTCAAGCGGGGTGACACTATTCAGTGCCCCTAAGTCCCCAGCCTCATCTAATCACCTATGCGGATATCCCTCGTCCTGCTTTGGGGAGAACACAGAGGCAAAATTGTCATTTAGCTTCTGTGCCTTTTCCCTTGCATCAGTCACTGGATCTCCTTCCTCCTTATTTAGTGGTCCCACCCTTGTCTCCCCTTCCTCTTCCTATTTACATGCTGAAAGAAGCCCTTTTTGTTGCTCTTGATATTCTTGGCAAGTCTCAGCTCGTAATCAGCCTTAGCCTTGCGAAGAATCCTTCTGCAATGGGCCTCCTCCTCCCGGTATACCCTTTTGTCTATTTCCCCCAGTACCCATTTCCTACGGAGGTTCATCTTTCTTCTAATCCCTTTAACCACCTCCTTTTGCATCCATGGCAGCACTCTCCTCCGCCTCCCCACCTTACTGATTAGAGGTATC